TATACGGTTGTCCTAAGGGGGTAAACAACTGGGCACTCCCCCCCGTTCCCCCCCCCCCCTCCCCGGCAGAAGGAAGCCGTTCGTCCCCCCTCCCCGGGGGGGCCTCCCTAAGTCCCCAATTGTATCTCCCCGGCCTTAACAAAAACCGAAGGCGTCGTGCCCCTTTCCCCTGGTGGGGTACACAGACGCCCCCGATCCTTCAATTGCTCCGATTGTCGGGCTTCGGACATCCCCAGACGTGGGTAACTAAGCTCCACGTCACGGTCGCCGTCGACGACGACGACGTCGCTTCAAGCGACTCGAAGTCCAGGGCCCGGGCTCCCCCGACACGGCCGGTGGAAGTGTGTTATCACATCTTCGATGGCGGGACCGGTTTACCCGTCAAGGCATCTGGTGTCCATTTGGAACCGTTGCCAGAGGTTGCCGAGATACTGAACCTTGAGGAAATGATGGTCGAGGCTTTCCTGGCCAACCTCAAGGCTGGAAAAAGGTTGCCGAGATGGTGCTCATAAGACCTGAGACCACTCGGAAGGAGCTGAACGCCTCCTCTATTTTTAAACGAGGACGTCCTGGAGGACCTAAACAAGCAGCGCCAGACGCGCTTGGGTTCCGAGATCCTTAATAACCCCAAGGATCCGGTGTATGCGGACGGGGTGAGCAAACACCCACCGACCCAGCTCTCACCAGATCGAGGCGTACGGCATGAGATCGATCTCGTGCCTGGCACAAAGTACTGTGTCACGAGACAATGGCCTCTTCCGCGCGAACAGTGCGAGGTCATTGATGCCTTCTTCGCTGCGAAAGCGAAGGCAGGCATGGTGCGGGAGTCGAAGTCCCCGCCCTCGACGCCAAATTTCTGCGTTCGGAAGCCGAACGGAAAGTGGCATCTAGTTCATGCTTATAACAAGCTGAACAACGCGACGGTGCCGGTCCAAACACCAATCCCGCGAAAGGATGTGTTGTTGAACAACATGGCCTGTAGCGTACTTTTCAGTGCGCTGGATTTGGTAGACGGATACTACCAGATCCTGATGCGAGAGAGTGACACCCCGCTCACCGCGGTGAGCACTCCAAGCGGCATGCTTTGGGAGTGGCTCGTCATGCCGCAGGGCTTGTCTAACGCCCCGGTGACGTTCAACCACCTGGTGACGCAGCTGTTCCGCCCTTTGCGTACCTTCGTACATACGTACTTCGACGACATATTCGTCCATAGCCGTGCCGAAGGAGGCAAGACGGCCATGGAGGTGCACCTAGGACACCTCCGTCGAGTGTTGGACGTAATGCGAGCAAACAAGCTCTACGCCAACATCGCCAAGTGTGTCTTCGCGTCACCAGATATTAAAGTTCTCGGTTGCTTCGTAAGCAACGTGGGCGTTCGGGCTGACCCAGACAAGGTCAAGGCCATAGCAGCATGGCCAACGCCCCGATCCCAGAAGGATCTTCGAAAGTGGTTGGGCTTGGCCAGCTACCTTCACAAGTACAGTGCAAGGGTACACGGGCTTTCGCTGAGCCCTTGTCGGGCCTCCTTCACAAGGACGCCGACTGGCGCTGGGAGCAGGAGCACGAGGATGCCTTTGACAGAATCAAGGCCAGTCTCCAAGAGGCCCCTGTCCTGACCCTGCCGGACGAGACGAAGCCGTTTAGCGTCGTCTGCGATGCCTCCGACTGTGCCATCGGTTGTGCACTGCTGCAGGCCGACACGGCTGGACATGAACGCGTCATATCGTTCCAGTCCAGGCAGCTCAAATCCGCCGAACAGAACTACCCTGTCCACGACAAGGAGCTCCTGGCAATGAAATATGCCCTTGTGAAGTTTCGTGTTCACCTTCTGGGCTCCCGGCCCTTCGTGATCTACACAGACCACGCGTCCTTGAGGACGGCGACTAACTCGCCTCACCTCTCCCAAAAGATGGGGACGTGGCTGTCCTACTTCGCGGAGTACAACTTCCGCGTCGAATACAAGCCGGGCAAGCTCAACGTGCTTGCGGACGCCCTCTCTCGGCGTCCAGACTACGAGTTGACCCACATCACACGGGTGACAACGGATCTATATGATCGGATACGCATGGCGTATCGGGACGATGAGGCTGTCGCGCCTATCGTCAAGTTCTTCACGGCAGGAACGAGCGCGAAGTCCGACTGGCTCTCGTCGCGACAGCGCTCACGGCTCCACCGATATGAGTTGAAGGATGGCCTCCTCTATTACCGAGTGGAACCCAATGAACCTCCACGGGTGGTCGTACCCAACGACAAGGATCTGACGTTCGACATTCTCGCGGTGGCGCACGACGCGCCCTCCAGAGGCCGCTTGGGCCGCGAGAAGACCTTTCTGTCGGTCTCTCAGGCCTTCTGGTGGACCCACATGTACAAGTGGGTCGCCCGATCCATGACGGCATATGAAACATGTCAGCGGGTTAAACCCGCAGGGCACTCTTCGGCTCCACTACAGAGCCTGCCCGTACCGGCTGACTGTTGGAAGTTGATGAGTCTTGACTTCATCTTTGGGCTTCCCACCGACGGACACGAAAACACCGGAATTTTTGTGTTCGTGTGTCGGCTGAGCAAGAAGGTACATCTCGCTCCAATGCCCGTTACCGTCACAGGCGAGCAAACCGCAAGGTTGTACGTCGAGGGTGTGTTCGGCTATCACGGACCCCCGGAGACGGACCGAGACCCGCGGTTCACGACTGCGTTTTGGAAAACGCTGTTTTTCTTTTATAAAAAAATACCCCACCCACCCGGCGGCCGGTCGTAACACATGCAATCCGACGACCTTTTGGAGAATACAACCACGCCAGAGAAAAAACGCTGTCCGCCAAAGCCTCTGTACCTACTTCATTTCGTAAGAGCACTTCAGCGACAAAACCCAACGCCAATTCAAACAGCTCCGTTGCAGACAGCGCATGC